CAGCAATGGGCACATTTCTAATTCCATCATTTCAGCACCCTGGTGACTCGAGGTCACCATATTTGTTACAACCCACCTTTCACTCTATAAAAGAAAGGCAATTCATCTCTGCACGCTCACAACCTGACAGAGGACAGGCAGGGCTTTGGGGGCTGAGTCCTTGCTCTTCCTGTCTAGCTCCCATCCCTAGGCATGACCCCTCCTTTCTCACCCTGACTGCAAATGGAAAATAATCACACCACCCCCAGGGCTGTGGAAACCTCACGTGGCGTGTCACACCTAAAAGCACCTCAGAAGGCCCTGGAGAGCTCAGCATCCTCCCTCTCCTGGTTAGGAGTCTGCACCACACTGGTGAGGCTCTGGATTCCTGATCCTTACACTTGAGTCTTCTTCCTACCTGTCACTCTGGAGCCCTAACAAATCTCCCCAACTCCAGAGTCTGCTTTCCTATGCATAAAATGAGGCCAAGAAGAAGTTCCACCTCCTAAGAACCTACCTGAAAACACACACACACACACACACACACACACACACACACACACACACACACACACAGGGAGAACTTGGAACAGTGCCTGACCAAGAGGAAACACCGTGTATGTTAGCAGTGATTATATGCTGTATTCAAAGTCAAGTTACTCTCAGAGGGTTTCACATTTCCAAGTGTCCTGGAAGTACAGATTAAAAAGAAGAAAAAAACTTAATTGGATGCATTGTAAAATTTGCCATTTAATGGCTGAATGAATGAATAAAAGACATATGTCTCTCAAAAATGGGTCATAATAATACAGTGGGTCTACACCAAGGACCCGTGGGTGGCACAGACACAGGAGGCAACAGAAAGTCGAAGGAGCTGGGGACCCCTAGGAACCAGCCCACTCGGGCATTCAGACGGGGTGGAAGCTGACAAGATAACAGGGAAGAGCCAGAGAGAAGGTCACAGCAAAGGCTGTGTCCTGTGTGAGAATTCCGCGGGATTTCAGATCGCCAGCACTCTAGCTCATGACTACTCAGGGAGGAGACTCGCACCCTGCCTGCCCTCCAGAATCAGGACCCCTCCACAGAAGGATGGCAGGAAGGGCCTGGGCAGCCTCGAAGGCCTGGCCAGAGGGGCACTGGCTCCCTCCTGGGAAACGATCAGGGCTCTGCACAGCGCACATCATGCGTCTAGCAGTGACACTGTGGACACACCACTGTCGGAAGATCTGTTTCCCCAAGGCTGAAAGTTTGGGAGAGGTCACAGCCAGGAGCCAGCAGGCTTCAGGTGGACTCCCAAAGCAGTGCTCACAGCCACTGCCCTGTGTGGCTCTGAGCTGCACCCATCCCACAGCCAGCACCCACCTCTCCCGTGCTAGACCCCTTCGGTGGAGATCTCGGAGGACTTTGAAGTCCAGGCAGCAGAGACCAGGTGGAGCCCACTCCACACTCCCCAGGGTCTCTGCCTATATTGCTGGTTTGTTGGGGAGCCTGGGCCCCGTGACCAGAGTGGGCTGGAAAGTGGTCTGCACTGCATCCAAGGCTCCGTGCCATGGGACGTTGGGGCCTCCTCATCTTCACAGCCCACCGGCCCCATGGATGGTTCTGGATTCCTGCACACCCTCCACGGGAGCAGAAGCACCTCAAACTCTGGGGCACATTGCTTGACAAGTGTTGCTGTTTCTGCCCTACATTCACTCATGTGCATTGGGGACAAGCATTCAAATGACAAGAGTTAAATTCAAAACATGTAGCCACTCTCTGTTATACATAT